TAATACATTCTCATTACCAAAATATACTGCAATACCTTTTCCTTGTGTCATCACTCTAAGACGACCAGAGTTTTTCTGATTTGCTACAATACTAGTCTGAGAAAAACATTCGGAAAACTTCTTAATACGATGTTCATTACGTGTTTCTTGGTCAAATTCGACTAAAAGCTTTGGTTTAATAACCTTAAGTGGCTCAAATATTGTCATAAACAGAATAATTGTTACTATGATGTTTATAGATATACAATTCTTTTATCTGAAATATGCTGAATAAAACTTTGATGAGTATGGAATCAAATGATGAAAGAAAAGCATGAATTGATTGAACTGCAAAAAGTTATTCAGGTTTATTTTCTGGCGAACTTTAGGAACACTCTGTATATCTAGAGACTTAGACTTATGATTTATAGTCTTCTTTTTTTCATTATCGAGAAGCTAAAGTAAGAATTTTTTGTTTATACTCAATGTAACATATAAAAAGGAAATTTCATAATCATACAATTTCAAAAAATGATTGCCAGTATTTGTTTTCATGATTTCAAATCACTAATCTTTCATGCATTTTCATGAATAGAACTAATATTCGACTTTTCTGAAGGAAAATAGGTGACAGTTTTTTTGTTGAGATCTTTCATTTGTTGTTCTTTTTCTTTTTACTATCCATATGAAATTGTTTCAATTCTGTACAGATATTAATTTCCAAACGAATCCAACAAACTAGAATGTATAAATTGATCAGATAAGGTTTATAGTATAATATGATGAGCAATTTGTTTTCTTGTTACTTTTCCGTAACGTGAACCTACTGAAAGCCAACAACAGCCAACAATAATGGCGACAGAACTGTAGTAGCCACTGGTACACCATGAAGAGCGGGATAGAGTACTCCCTGTCACTTCTAATGAAATCATCTGCTATTCAAATATCGATACGTAGTTCACCATCTGGAACTGAATGTTCTTTTAGTGCATTCTCGACATTGAATGAATCGATGATAAGTTTATTTATAGACATGACACCGTCCTCGGCGAGAGTTCCTCTCTTTTAAAGTGTTGATTGTTCTATTTTGGCTTTTATTATGGATCTTCAAAAATTGAACAATTACCAATGTTCTTTACTTTTTCGCTTTGGTCGAGGTGCAATAATGGCAAAAAAAACGAAATAATAGTTTTAGGAAATTTAATCGATCAATTTATTTCAATTAACTCATTTCTTTCGACTAGTGTAGATAATTTCGTAGATCTTCGATTTTTATACTCGATTCATGATGATCTTGAACAAGTATTATTTTTAAAATAATGCTGATTCCAATCTCACAACTAAACATATCGATGATGTGACAACATTAAGTTATTGTCAAAATGAAAAAGAAATTTTAATCATGCTTGAGTCGATCTTTTGAATGATTGACGTAAGTAAATGATGGTAACCAAGTATGATTTATTCAATTGGCATTATGCTCTGATACTGATTATCATCTAAAAAGTAGTTTTCGAGCATATGAAAAATGAATACTATGGTGAAAAAAGAGTCTTCTCTCGTTTAGAAAATCTTAGCAGACATGAGTATATTTGGTAAAGCTAAGAAATATTATCTTCGTTTATTTAATCATCTCTCTCTCTCCATATGATTTGGGCATCATTCGTTGTTCTCATGACTTTGATAATGCCACTGTTGAAAAAAGTGCCTATCATTCAAATCGTTTCTAAGTAATTACTTGAATCTCATTAAAAAAAGCATCTAAGGCTGTTAAAAAAGCATTTAGTGAAATGTATTCTAATATTAATATGGATTTAAATCATATAGTTCGTAAACATGAACTATAGAGATTTATTGATAAACATTGAAATGTTATCAAAATGCATTGGAGGTTTATGCAGATTATTTACCTGAGTATCATTCTGATGTCAGTCAATCACATAATAATACTCCTAATATACATCGTTGTTATGATGTATATAATGGTGTATTAAAACATCACAAGAAATCATATGCAATTAAAATAAAACTTCTAGCTACGAAACATCGTCACATTATTTTAAATATTTTTAGAACATGAATAAAATTTATAAAAATATTTAAAAAGTCTAAGAAACACTGAAGTATGATGAAAAAGTTGCTATCATCTATTGTCATTAATTTATGCACACCCAATTATACTATGAATTGAAGACGGAACCTATTCAGATATCTATCTTAATTTTATAGACAAAATTTCAATTATAATCAATAAATTACACCAGAAAACAAATGAAAGCTGAAGTAACATTAAATAAGAATAAAATAAGACAATTAGATTTTAAAACTTTAAAATGAAAATTTATGGAATTTCATAAAGTTATTCATTGACAACATCTAACTAACTAGTTCAATAAGATCAGGTCAATAGATAATTAAAACAAAATTTGTTCATTTTTATGCATAGATATTACCAGTTATTGCCCAATGGTTCTTTTTTGCTTTCTTGTTATTAATTTAAGATATACAAACTATTATAGTATTTTATATTAATTCTTACTTAAGACCTCTGAGTTTTAGATAGAGAATTTTTTCATGCGAATTTGAAGTATAAATGTTGATGTTCATATCAAAAAGCATAACTTTACCACATTGAATATTAAAGAATAACGATCAACAATGCAGAACAAAAAACAAGTGTAAGTATTTAAATATTTTTCCATAAAAATATAATAAATCAAACACTATGATCATATATATTGCATTTCTTACATGAAAAACATGTATTTCTGTATATTTTTGCTTCTTTATACATTTTCTCTATACTTCTCGCTCTGAAATTATCATCATATATGATTTTTAGAATGTTATATATATGATTTGGACACAATTAGTAGTCTAATTTTTATATAGATCAAGACGCAATCGATTTCGACAACTTTTCACAGATCATTTATCTTGTATAAATGATCGTATGAAAGAATATATTTACAAAAAAAACCATACGAATGATAATTTTCAAACGCTGTAGTGTAGTTTACTATCACGAATAAAAATATGGATGAACAATGAAAATAATGACTATACTTCAGTTGACCAATACTAAACATTTACTAAGTATCTGAACTAGGGTCCTGCGGAAACGACTTTTTCCCGTATTTTCTCGTCCCGTTTTCCGCGGGAATCGGAAACGAGAATTCTGGTGGACACTCCGGGAACGGGAACACGGGGACGGGAATCGTATTAAAAATTTCTGTTCTCGGCAAATCTTATGTCCGATTTCTGTTTACATTAAAATCTGTTAATGTTGTTACAGTATTCGATTTCCAATAACTAGTTGAAATATAATTGAAAAGATAACAAATATCAGTCAACAAAATCAGACAAGTTCATTCAAACATAGATTATGAGAATCACGATATTCTTTATCACCATCGTCGTTGTCGGCGTCGAAGCTGGGGTCATCAATATTACATATATGTCAAACTTGAAACTTGAATTCAATTGAAATTTCAACTTTGAAGTTTGAAGTTTCAACTTTGAAGTTTCAAGTTCCAATAGGTTTATGAGTCTCGAATCAGAAATTTACTTTTAATATACGGAATCTTGTATTGTGAGAAACGTGATGTCGCTAACAGCTAGTATCAAGTAGGAGTAGTGTTGATGAATGTGAATAATGAAATCGTTGTACCTATTCTCAAAGCATTACGGGAACGGGAACAAAAATTTTCAATACGGAAATGGCAACGGGGAATCAAAAAAAGTTGTTGCCGCAGGTCTCTAATCTGGACAGACTTTGATAGTCTAAAACTATTCTTTCATATATCAGAAGACGAATATTTTTACAGATGACTCATGCCTTGATCAAAATGCAGATTTTGTTTTCTGAGATTCTTGCGCTAACAAAATCCTCATGAAATAAAATGATTCTCATCGCTGTAGTAAATCTATTACAAAACTTATCTAAAAGCTTTCTAGAAAAGAAATAATTTTGTTTGAAGTATTGTACAAAGTTTTATATGAAATTTATCAAAAATGACATTTAAATCATTAAATGAGCATTCATATTTTCTAAAACATCTTTCTGACAGATCGAATTGGAATAATGTATTAATGGAAAAGTTAGATATGTTTATGAACAAGAATCATAATTTGTACTAAAGTTGGTGTCGCAATAAAATATATAGTTGAAACAAAATTATTTAGTTTTAGAGATTAGTAATCACGAGCTGAATAAAGAAGCCATGATATTCAAAGTCGATGATCGAATAAATTGTCTTATTGTATGTATGCTTTGTTATTTTACAAACGAAATGTGTATTCATGAAAAATACACCGCAATACTAGTTTATCTTCATCGTTTTCAAAATAATATCAAGGTAATATGAAACAATCACAAGAGCAAAGTATAGCGAAAGGAGTAATGAATAAAATGATATCTTATCACTAGTAGAATTTGCCCGATGATAATGGTGACTATGAAAGTTCTCTCTTTATATGTTGTATCAACACCAAAAAAAGTCTCACTATTATTCGTATGCCTGTGTGTGTGTGTTGTGCTTTTTGGTCAAAGTTGATTTTTTTTTATATTCAGCATTAATTAAAGTAGTTAAAATTACTTTTTAGATTAACTTGAGTTGGCAATACAATGAACACAACTGTAAAGTATGTATATCATTATCATATGAAAACCAGTAAAAATTATCATTCGATGATCTTTCTTCGATTTAAGCAATATTTTACATGAAATGTTTTGTTATTTCTAGCGATGCCGAGCCGCTAGTGAATCATCGGCAAAGGAGTCACAAACGATGGTTGATTGTTTTGATTGTTCTTCTTCTTATTTCGACCATCGTTCTGGCAGTTTTATTTGGTCTTGAAAAAGGCAAAACGAAAACAAATAGTACTGACTTTCACGTTGTCTTTTCATTTTTATAAGATATAAATTTTATTTATTTTCAGACGACGATTTATGCTTAACACCTTATTGTGTCAAAGCAGGTATGTTTCTCACATTTCAATATAATAATTTCTATAAATTAATGTTTGTAGCGGATTATATATTGGATTCCATCGATGAAACAGTTAATCCTTGTGAAGATTTTTATCATTTTGCTTGTGGAACATGGCTAAAAAATGCTCATATTCCAGAAGATAGTAAGTTAATCTTTTTTTTCAAAGAGATGAAAGATTATAAAATCTTTATTGTAGGTGGTGTTCAAAATATATTCAATCTTTTGGATACACAATTGGATTTAAACATAATCGGTATGATTTTAAGCGTTTCTAATTCATTTTCAATCTTGTTTATTTAGATCTTTTATCATCAAAACCACCCAATGGAACTGTTGAACCAAACGCCATAATAAATGCACGCCGTTTATATGATTCATGTATAAATGAAGCTGGTATCGAAACTGATGGTGTTGAATCTGTTCTTTCCATTGTTAATAATGAACTTGGTGGATGGCCTATTTTACAAGGTCATACATGGAGTCCTCCAAATTTTAATTTATCAGATCTTTTACTCAAATTACGTAAATATGATGATGGAGTTATTTTTAGTGTTAATACAGCAACGAATCAAGAAAATTCATCAGTTTATGATATTGAAGTAAGAAATAATAATTTTTATTCGTTGGGTTTTTGTTAACAAAAAAAAAATATTTCAGCTTGGACAAGGTACTCTCGGTTTACAAGAAACAGAATATTACAATAATGAAACTGATATTACTCTAGCCTATCGTCAATTTATGGCTGATTTAGCGACAGCATTAACAAATGACACATCAGCAATTATCACTGATGTAATTGCAATGTATTTACTAGAAAAAAATATTTCTCAAGTAATTTCTTTTCAGTTCTTTTTGAATGTTATATATAAAGTATTTAATTTAGTATCATTGGACTGAATCAGAACAACGCCTTCGAGATAATGAAACGATTCGAACAACTGTTGGTAATCTTGCACAATCATTCAAAGTTGATGTAAGAGTTAATCTAAAGTTATCTAAATAATTTCTAATGCATATAAATCTATAGTTTGATTTCACTAATTATCTTCGTCAATCTTATCTTTTTGGCGGTGTAAATTTAATGGACACAGATCTTGTAGCTGTTAGTGAAGTTGCTTATTTAGCAAATGTTTCCTCAATTCTTCAACAAGCTCCATCTCGTGTTGTACAAAATTATTTAATTTGGCGTTTTATGATGAATCGAGCAAGCAATATGCCAAAACGAATTCGAAGTACTCGTGAACAATTTGATCGAGTCTTCAAAGGCACTACGGCAGAACCATCACGTGCAAACACTTGTGCGAATTATGTTAATGATAATATGGGTTTTGCTGTATCGAGACTTTATGTTAATAAATATTTTGATGATAATGCTCGTAATCAATCAAAAGAGCTTATTAAAAACATTCGAAGTTCAATGATGACAATGCTTCAAAAAGCAACATGGATGGATAAGGAATCAAAAGAAAAAGCTGTTGATAAGGTAATAGAATTTTTTTTCAAAAATTAATGATTATCATTTTTTTCTTTGTAGGCTGAGGCTATCTATGAAAATATTGGTTATCCAGATTATGTAGCTAGTGATAATATAACACAATTGGAAAAAATGTATGCTGAAGTAAGATTATCGCATATCGACTTAATAAATTTCGAAAATGTTTATTGATATTTGAAAAATTTTAGTATATTTTTAATACATCATACATTAATAATGTTCTTCAAATGCAACGAGTTAAAACTCGAGAAACTTTTCGAACACTTCGTGAACCTGTCGATCATCGTGCATGGGGTGATCTTCCTCCAACTGTAGTCAATGCTTTCTATGAACCATCGACAAATGCTATCTGTAATATTTCATTCTCTTTTACAACATCTTAGGAAATCAGTTTGACTTTTTCTTTATTTAGCTTTTCCAGCTGCTATTCTACAAATGCCATATTTTAATAAAGATGCACCCAAGTAAATTTGAGTTTTTTTTTTTTTTTTGAAAACTATTTGTTCATTGTTATATTTTTACTTTAGGTATCTTAACTATGGTGGTATGTAATCGTTTGATTTCCATTAACTAGGAAAAAGTTCTTTGGTTTAGGTATTGGCATGGTTATCGGACATGAAATAACACATGGATTTGATGATGATGGTCGTCAATATGATAAAGATGGAAATAGAGTTCCATGGTGGTCAAATAGTACAATAGACCAATTTAATGAACGTAAACAATGTATCATTGATCAATATAGCAATTATACAGTGGAACAAATCCATAAAAATGTCTCTTTTCTTTTAGTTTTTGATTCGATAATAAATTGATATGGTTTTTTTTAGTTGAATGGTGAACAAACACAAGGAGAAAATATTGCTGACAATGGTGGAATTAAAAGTTCATTCTTTGTAAGTTAATCATATTCATGTGTTAGAACTTTTGAAAATGTAAATCTTTATTAATAGGCTTATCAAAATTGGGTAAAGGCAAATCCAAACGTTGACAAGAGATTACCAGGCTTAAGTAAATATTCTCAAGAACAAATGTTCTTTATTGGATATGCCCATGGATGGTGCGCAAAATTTACTGATGCTTATGCTTTAAATAAAGTTTTAACAGATGTTCATTCACTTGCACAATTTAGGTATGTTATAATCTTTCTGTTTGTTATTTAGTTATTCTTTTATACGATTTTTTTTTGTTTTATTTTCAGAGTTCTTGGTCCACTGTCGAATTTTGCTGAATTCGATCGTGTATTCAAATGCACACCTGGTCAAGGAAGTAGCCGAGTTAACAAGTGTGCTGTTTGGTAGTGTGTGTCTGTGTTTGTGTTGACTTAAATAAATAATATTTAATCGTTTCTTTTTATTAACATTTTTCGTTCAGCATACAAATAGAGAAAAATAAAGAAAATGTTTCCTCTTAGAATCGCGAATTGTTACGCATCTGCTAACTCATCACTTAGCAGAATTTATCAAGAATCGGTGAAAAATAGAGTCAAACTGAATTATAGAAATATTCACAAAAAAAACTATTCAAAATGTGTGACGTTAAAATGAATTCATACTTGGTGTCTTATGAAAATTAATCAGTAGAGTGTAGGTGTGTAAAATCATAATTCAGGCGTTTCCTATAATAGTTGCCAATAACAACATGATATTTTCAATAAAACGCAGTGATCAATGTTGTATTGAGCAGTATATGAATATTAACAATATTTAGAAACAAAAACAACTACATGATCGAGATCGAACCTCAAAAGATTGATCTTATCATTCCTAGCTAACAATAATTTGTTAACGAGGAACTGTGCAAACTCTTTCTCTTGACTTGAAGAAACATTTATTTTACTTTCTTTTTTTCTCATTTCATGTTCATACGAATCCTTTCAATGACTAAGGATTTCATCTTTAATTTCATATGCATAACTCATTTGAAGAATGACATAAATAATTAGAAAGAACATATATTTAAAAAAGACGTTGTCAATAACTTGACTTTTAGTATTTTCAATTTACTAAATGAGAAATAAAATAAAGAATAAGAAAAGAGAATAGATTGGAAATGTTATGATCATAGGCGTCTCAAGAGATGAACTCCTTGAACAAAATCTAACAAAGTCTACCAAAAATGTTTGAATTGGAGGGTTAAGTCATCTAGTCCTCGCCAATCCTAGTGACTTCAAGACATATCTGGTTGTGATATTTGATGTATATCTATCTTATTTTGTTCTTCAGTATCAAATGCTAAATGAAAAATAAAAAAAAGAATTGCATAGATTCAAAAGAAAACATAATGCATACATTCCAATGAATTATTTATGTCTACTATAAACTCTCTTTGACAGAGTTTTTAATATATAAATACATCGTAAGTAATTCAAAATAAAAGATTTTTTCTCATATGCTTCGAAGGAAATTACATTTCTCAACGTTTACAGAAGCAGGCGCGACACTTTTTTGTAATAAAAATAAAAGTACATTGTTATGTTCTCATGAATAGCGTGCTGCAATACTTTCACTTTGTCAATTGTAACAAGTTTATGACTAGAGTTACCATGGAAATTTTTCTGTTACTCGTTTAAACACAGTTATTTCTTAAATGACTATTTACTTCTTTTTTTGTTTTAAGAACAAAATCATAACTTCAATAATTTCAGAAAGATAAATTTCAAAAAAAAAATATGTCGAGAAGAAACTTTGAACGTAAATATGTACGTCTGTTTTATTCTTATTTATCTTGTCTTGTTACTTAAATATTGTTTTCGTAGAATCCAGCTCAATATGATGTTGCATTCAAATTGCTTCCTATCAATCGTCGTCGATGTATAGCCTTTCTTCCCGACAAGTACCGATACAAGTATATATAATAAAAATTTTTCATCTGTTTGTTATAGTCCAAATGACAAATTATGTCATTGTAATCGAACTAAACATGAACATCTCACTACGAATGATCAATGGCAACAAAATGAAAAATGGCGTGAAGATATTCATACCATTAAAGATTCCACTAAAGAACAAGGGATTTCTCTGATTAATGGAGCACCGGTAAGAAAAAGATAAGAGGTCTTTGATTGTTTAGTTTTGATGAAATAGTATGTACGATGTGATATTGAAACTGATCCGGCTATTGTCGAAACGATACTACTTGATATTTGGCACATTCCACGTCCTGCACTTTTAATGCAAGTAACAGGCGGACATAAATATTTTAAATTACGAGGAAAAATGGAAGTTAATTTCCTTGATGATTTTGTGAAATTTGTGAGTAAATCAAGTAAGAAGAGTTTTCTTTATCTGCACACTTTGACAGTCACTAGTCTATTTAGATACTTGGTTGTTAACTAATGGAGCAAATGTTGGTATTGTACAACTCATCGGACAAGCCATTCGTAAGAGAAAAATGACTAAGCCAGATGACAGGACAATAGCCATTGGTGTATGTAATTATGGTTCAGTTAAAAATATGAAAGATTTTCAACGATCAGAACATATTGAATTACTGAATAATTCTTCATCATCTCGAAATCAAGAGTCGGTGAGTATAACAATAGAAATGTTTGATATTATAATTATTATTTTATGGATAAAATATTATATTTTTATGACCTTTTTTTTTAACAAAACTGATACCACGTATAGAAAGACGAACAAGTCAAGAATATCATTAGAGAAAAACTAAGAGCGCCATATAAAAGTAACAAAATAACAAGAAAGTTTATAAAACTTCAGGAGTAGAGTAAACATTGTCATAGCTCAAGACAACAAAAAATAAGTACGAACATCCAACAAGACTAGTGTAAAATGTCCACACTACCCGTCAGTCATGGTCTACAACGTCCGGCACACCTGTCGGTAGTCGCCGTCTTTTTTCGAGAAATGATCTTCAACTATGTTTAAACTAGTTCAAAACGTATCTACATTCATCATATCTAGTCTTTGTGCTGTTTATTCGATATGTAATTGTAAGTAATCGAAAAGAGTAATTTGTCTAGTCTAAAATATCGTTAACATACTTAATGCATCCATGTTTTTATATATTTCATAATCATTTCATTTGCTTAATAACACAGAGTTTATCGAGTAACTCTCAGGAGTGTACAGATTTGTGCTTTTTTATGCTCAAATTACAAATTTATATTGAAGCACAAGCACAAAGACGCACGTGAAAATATCTAGATTTATGATTACTTCTCAATAGAAATTGCCTAATAATGTTCTTGAAAATCTATTCGACTGTAAAATAAATTAGAAGTAATTTAGTTTAAAAATAGTTTAGATTGCGAAAATTTAAAATTGCAATAAACTTCACGCATGATGGAACAAAATTTTTTTTTTTAATCTTGAATTATGATAAGTTTATTATTGTTTTTAACTTCTTTTTATATGATCGAATTCGACTTTCATCGTTATACTTCCATGATTTAGACTAGTTCGAACTCGACTAGTGCATAAAACTACAATTCGTCCTATGTAGCATCGTGGACGTTTTTGTCTTTTATTTAAAATCTCTTGTGGCCGAGCACCAGTGCGTTATCGCATGACTAGTATTATTTTTAAAACGATTAAGCATAGCAAACAGACGAAGGCCCGTCCGTTAAATTGTCAGAATCTGAGATGTGAATTACCAACGATTTCAGACTGATCAGGTACTAGGAGATTTAAAAAAACGACTACAAAATGTATTCGCCATAACAAGGAGAACGACTAGCCTTCTTATCCATCCTTTGCTCGTTTGAGAGTCTCAAAATTTAAACATGATTTCCAGCGGAAGATATTGAGATCGCAAGGTCAAACTATGATCTCTTTCTTACTTTCAATACGTCAGATAAAGCTACAAAATTTTTTACAGATACTAAACATTGTTTGGATAACCTACATTTTTTTTTTAGTTTATTTTTATTTTCTTCTGTTTAAATACATACGGCCAAATCCTGAGAGCATATTCAAAAATACATGTGCTTTTTTTAACTGAAGCTTTTATGTAAATCCGGGCAAAAACTAGTGGTAGAGCATATTTTGAAATAAATAAAAGTAAGCATCTGAAACGCTTTGTAAATATAGAGAAAAGAAAGGATTAGATTAATCGTATATACTGTGCTTGAGAAACGAGAACAATTTTCATGTTTTTGTCAAAAAAGCATGCTTTTAAAAACGCTGAAATAATGTGTGAAACGTAATGTTTTTCAGGAAAAATATTTCAGCTCTTCGGCTTTTATAGTTATATATTAATTCTGAAAATATGTTCAGCAGAGAGAAAATATTTTAAAGAATATAAAGAACATAAAAAAAATTAAAAATCTAAATATTTTCGAACAGTCAAGAAGTTTCGTTTAATGTTCAAATCTCTAAAAAAAAGCTACACATTATTTTCATATTGTCTATATTTGAAGTATTCTTTGTCTAATAGAAAAGTGTTACTCAACTACGAACTGGTCAGCAAAGTCTAGAAATGAATCATACACATTTTATATTACTTGACGATGGAACGCTTCAATCTTACAATATAGGTGATTATCGTACTCGACTTGCAAAAACTATTGCCAAAGGACGCGCAAAACAAACTTTATCAAGTATATGCAGTTTCTTAAAATGATCATTGAATTAGTTTTAATTTCTATTTTTAGTACCTATTGTATCAGTTTTATTCGAAGGGGGCGAAGATTCTTTAAGATCAATCTACAATGATCTTCGTAGCAATATTCCTGTCATTATTATTAATGTGAATTATTTTAATTGAATGTACTGATAAACTGAATCTATTATTTGATCATTTAGAATACTGGTCGTATCGCTGATTATCTTGTTCAATGGTTATTACGAACACAAGAAATGGATCTTGATATTAATTGGACAACACCAGTGAATATTAATGACGAAAATGGCACGCGTAAAACTTTAAGCGAGACTTTCAAAGGAAGAGAATCGATTAGTTTACATTCTGTTAATCTTCAACCTACAGAAGATGATGATTCTAATCGACTCAGTCGAAATCGGTACGTAGAATATGTATTATTCATTTTATAATTCAGTTTTTTAGATTATGTATAAAATTTGATAAATATTTTAATTCTATGTATGATGAATTGATTCAAGCCATAAATGGAATTGATAGTGATCATGCAACAAAAATTGTTAAATCAGATAATTTGAAAACGGTCAGTGATGAGATTATTCTTATGGTTCTTTATTGTTTACAACCAACGGTTCGCTCAAAAATTAGTATATTCAATTTCACTAAGGATGAAAAATTATCAGAAATAATTCTTCGAAGTATTTGTAAATGTAAGAGGTTTTTTTTAATCTTATATCAAATTTATCTTATATAAAATAAGTTACGGTATTTTTTTCTTCTCCAGCTGTAGAAAATAAAATCCAACCGAAGAAATTGAATTCGAATAAACGTGATGATATGGTATCAAAATTTGATTATTTGCTTGAATTAGCCCTTGATTGGGATTGTATTAATACAGCAAAAGAATGGATTGTTCAAGATTCTCTTGATAATATTTACAATAGAGAATCAATTTTTTGTCGAGCATTAACAAAGCAACGACATAAATTTGTTCATTATTTTATTCAACTTGGACTTGAAATAGATGAAATATTTTTTCATCCAAAACTTAACCCATTTGCTGCAAGAAATATGAATAAAGAAAATAAACGTTATAGCAAATTTTTAAAAATTTTATATACTGAAGAAGCTATTGTATGAATATATTGTGGTCAAAATTAAAATTCAGTCAGATTTAAAATTTGCCCAGTTGAAATTAATATTAAAACTTTGGCTAGATAAAATTGAACTTTTTTACATGAACAGAAAAATGTAAAACAAGGCAAACAATATTAAATAAGAGTATGAGTGGAACACAGAAGTTGCTCTTGTCTGCATCCATACATTTAATTATCAAGATTTTTATCTTTTTCTGTTCATCAAAAAAATTTTAAAATCGTCTAGTCAAAATTGAAATTTTAAATTTAACGAACTTAGGGAATCTCTTCAGATGTTTTTTTCCGATTTCAATGATTTTCTATCTATAGATATTGAAAAATGTTTTAATAAAAATTGTAAAAGGATTTGAATTCCTATTGAGATTTGACTCAAGTATTGAATGTATTTTACGACTATGTTCTAGAGAACTCAGATTTGCTAGAGTCGTATTTTAAAATTTTGATCAGAAAGTTTGCCCATCTAGAGAACTCAACAAGAATAGTTCCCGTCGGAAAATTCAGACATTTTGAACAATGTCTCTATGAGATATAAGACTTTCAGGATATAGACCCTGTTCTAAAGGTAGTGTATACAACATGTGTTTTTGAAAGCTTCATATCTTGAAGACACTATGCTTAGAGTTTCTAACTATTTTTTTTATGAAATTCAGTCTAGTTACGTTCTTTATACGCCCAAATATTCAAGTTAAAATTCTAAAATACGAGTTTTCAGGAAATCTGAGATCTGTAGAAAATCGACGTAAAATAACTTGGATACTTTAGTCACATCTCAATAGGAACCTAAATTCTTATAAGGTTTTTTTTAGAACACTATGTAGCATCTACAGGTAGAGACCCCTAAAGCCAGAAGAGGGCATCTAAAAAGATTATCTTGTGAGATTATATTTGACGAAATAAAAATTTTAATTTTTACTACGGAAATTTTAAAATGTGTGTTATTAGAATCGAGACGATTGGTTACTTCGAGATGTCGTGAAAACTACCAACGATCAACATCGAAAAGTGATTTGTTCAACAGATGATCTCAATCGGTTATTTCGAGTTCTTGTCGGTGGCTATATGAAGCCACTTTATTATGATTCACAAATAGAAGAACAAGAAAATCGTATGAGAGTTAAACATTTTACAAATATTATTTTTCCAATGGAAGATATTGAACAAGGACAATTGATTGCTAGTGATACTGTTTATAAACAGTTAGCAAAAGATTATATTATTCGTGATCTTTTTCTTTGGTCTATTGTTATGAATTATATGGATCTTGCTAAAGTATTTCTTGCTCATATGAAAGATCGTATTTGTGGTGCTTTAATAGCTACAGAAATTCTTTCGCATTTACGTGATCATTCTTCTGATGCTGTTCATGGAGATAAAAAGACGAATCTTACTTATTGGATTAATTATTTTGAACAATACGCTATTAATTGTATGGATTTATGTTTTAAAAATGATCCAAATATGGCTCGAATATTAGCTATACAACGCGTTGAAATGTTTGGTGATGTAACTTGTCTACAGGTTAGATAGAATTTAAAATCTACTATTTAGAATTTCATATTTTTATGTAGGTGTGTGATGATGCTAACTCCAAAAGATTTGCTTCACATCCTTGTTGTCGGCAAGCAGAGAATAGTATTTGGTATGATAAGTTACATTCCGATCAATTTCATTTACGATATTATATTGGACAATTGATTGGTTTATGGACTTTAGGCTTACTTGCACCATTTACTGTGCGTTTTCAAACAGTAGATCAAGTAAGAGAATAATTCATATATCATTTCGCATGATATATTTTATTTTTGTAAATAGAATCCACTTCCGACTGAACCAATGTAAGTAAACTGACAATCTTGTCTATTAATTCTTCATTATCTTATTTAGTTTACAACCATATTGTTAGCTCGTTTCGACGAGCTGATGTTTATTTATTTTCCAAAATATCTGACTAGTTAAAATGTCCTTAACAACACGTACATATATATATAACAACATACAATCGAGAAAGAGGAGAAAGAGAAGAAAAGGAAAAAGAGAAGAAATACATAGTAAGATATCAAGGGAAAGAAATGAGAATGAATCACCGCTAACATTCCTCCCTTCCCATATTGGATGTGTGTCCCCACACATCAAGGTTGAGTTCATCTTGCATATTTTCAAGTTTTATTTGAATTTCTCTTATATTTGTTGGGGTATTTTGTTCAAACGTTGATAAATGACTAAATAAATTTTTAAGACATAAACATAATGATCTTCAAGGTAAACATGAAATGATTGAAATTGCAAATCCATTAGTAATAGATCTTCTATAAGAGTTGTATCAATTGATTGGGTATAGAATTTTCACGAGAATAATTTTAATTTAATTTTATCATCTTTTTTGTAAACAAGAACATTGCCGGTTTCGATTTCCATCAATTTTTATCATTAATTTAATTAGTTTAGGTAAATATTGTTTATCATTTAATTCATTTTGGAATAATAAATAATAGATAATATCTGTTGATGGTATACCTTGAAAAAGCTATAAATTAATTTTTTCATTTATTTTTATTTCTAAACAACTATATGGATAAATAATTGTATATTGTTGTTTCGATATTGGTAATATATAGCATAATAATGTTTGTTGAGTTTGAAATAATTATTATTCGATGATTTTACAAAATATAAATCAATTGAATCATTTGTGTATAAACCATATCATTAAGATAATCAATAAGTAAATATTTATGTTAAATATTCGATGGTGAAAAATTGATATATATAAATTTTTCTTTGTTTGATGTGCTAGATGTGAACATAACATAATCTTGTTTTAATCATAGTAAAGTTGTGAACTGGTACCACGTGCGTCATTCTTTGCGCCAAACAGTGCGCGCATACTGTTAAAGTGCATCGATTGTTACACATTATGATTGAATAATATATCATTTCGTATTAAGTATTAAAAAGAAGAAAAAAAATATTTAATATTCGAGTTCGACAGCCCCTCCTTGTCAGTGAGAAGGTGAATTTCTGTCTCCCCGGCATGGACTGCTGAATCAAACTGAATCATTTTTACTTAATTATAAATGATAATTATTTTTACTTTACTAATTGTGCCATCTAATACACATCTTTCCCTCTCGGGATGTGTTTATTGGATTAAATTCCATCGTTCCACCAATGGAACGATAACATCCATTGTCACTTGTTTTGTTAACGTTAATTTTTTAACATGTTGGACAATAAATGTTTTAATTCCTAATTGTTTTATAATTTTAAATGGACCTTCATATCGTATATCAAATTTATTTCTAATGTTTCTTGTTTTTACCAAAACTAGATCATTGAGTTTTAATGATAAATCTTGTCTATGTAAATCATATCGAGCTTTATATTGTTGTTGATTTTTTATAATATTGTTTCGAGCTTCATTTACTAATTTTTCGAGATATATTCTAATTTTTTGACTATGCTCTGGATCTTGTGTGAGCGAAATAATTTCTTTTTGTTGATCAAATGGAAGTGTAACTTGTCTTCCATGCATCATTTCGAATGGTGTTTGTTTTGTTGTTGCATGTATTGATGTATTATAATTAAATGTAACAAATTGTAATACTTCATCCCAATCCGTGCGTCGTTCATTACATAAGGCGGCAATTTTTCCATCCATCGTAGCATTAAATCGTTCAATTTGTCCATTAGTTTGTGGATGATATACTGTGGAATAAAGATGAGTGACTCCAATATTTTCAAATAATTTGTTCATAACTTGAGAAGTAAAATGAGTACCATTATCGGTTAATATACATGTTGGAGTGCCATATTTTAATATAACATCGTTTATAAGAAATTTTGCTGCTGTTGCTGCTGAACAATCTCGAACAGCTTTTGCAATAACAAATTTTGATAAAACGTCTGTAAGAGATATAATATATCTGTTTCCTTTTTTTGATGTTGGAGTAATTGGACCATGAAAATCCATACTTAATAATTTCCATATTCCTTCGGGTGGTGGTATTGGTTTTAATTTTCCTGGTAATTTTTGACGGCGATAATTATTTTGTGCACATGGTAAACATGAATTTAAATGATTTTTAATATCTGCTATCATTGTTGGCCAATAATAACGTCCTTGAATTTTCCTTATTGTTTTGTCACGGCCAAAATGAGCTCCATTAGCAGGTGTATCATGATAAATTTTTAATATATCAGCACGTATTCGTCCTACTGGAACGTATGGCACTGGTGGAAGTGGTAGTTGTTGTTTTCTAAATAATATTCCATCTTTAATAAAATATTGTTTTTTATTCTTACTATTCTTTTTTATTTCGTGAATTGTTTTGTCTTCTTCTTGACATTTTCTTAAGTCATCCATATCAAATGGGATGATCTTATTTGGATTTTCATCTGTTGGTTTGATTATTCGTTCTTCATCAGTCGCTACTTTCCCTTGTGGGATGAGCTCATTAATTTTTCCATCTGTCAGTTTAATAGATGGTGTTGCCATTGCTTGTTGTTGTAATTTGGCTTGAGCTCTAGTAATTGCTGTTGTCATTTTTAATGGAATCAAATTATCATTTAATGATGAAAATGATAAATCTGTTTGTGTTGATGTTGATTCATACTGAGTTCGTTCTTCAATATCTTCTTCAGCTATGTCGACTGGTGATCTTGAAAGATAATCTGCCATATAATTTTTCTTACCTTGAATATGTTTCACCTTAAATCGATATTCAGCTAATTTTAATCGCCATCGTTCACATCTTTTATTTAATTGTTCTTTGTTTGTAAAATGAATTAATGGTTCATGATCAGTTTCTAATATAAATTCATGTCCACGAAGATATTTATCCCATTTTTCTATTGCTTGTACTATTGCATAACATTCTTGTTCAATTGTTGGCCACTTAATTTGTGCTTGTGTTAATTTCTTTGACATATATGCTAATGGTCGATCACCATTGGAAGTAATTTGTAATAGAACAGCACCAATTCCATCTACAGAAGCATCAGTTTGTAATTTAAATGTTAATGTATCATCAGGTAAATCAAGAATAAGATCAGTTGTTAGTATTTTCTTGAGTTGGTGGAATGCTGTTCTAGCTTCAGCAGATAATTCAAATTTTAATTTTTTATTGTTCTTTTGTTGTTGTACTGTTGCTGGAGAATATTTGTGTAATGGTGCAGCGATGGTGGAAAATTTTGGAATAAATTTTCGGTAATATTCTGCTGCTTTGACGAATCGAAATGCTTCTTCAGGTGATGTCGGTTCACGTGTATCAGTTAAACCACGGATGTTGTCTGGATCAGGTTTAATAGTACCAGCTTTAATTAAATGTCCAAGAAATAGTATTTCTGTTCTTGCAATTTCACATTTATCAACATTTAACTTAAAATTTGCTTCATGTAATAATGAACATACTTCTTCAATATGTTTTAAATGTTCATTAAAATTTTGCGAGTAAATAATAATATCATCGATATAAGCGAGTACATGTTTCCACCTATTTGGACCTAATATTTGATTAACAATTCGTTGAAATGTTGGTGGTCCATTAGTAAGACCTTGTGGTAATACTTTAAATTGAAAATGTCCATCTCGAGTTGAAAATGCTGTTTTTGGTCGATCTAATTTGTCTAATGGTACTTGAAAATATCCAGCTTTAAAATCGAATTTTGTAAAATATGCTGCTTTTGTTAATTGGTCATAAATATCATCAATTCTTGGTAATGGAAAAGCATCTTTTGTTGTAATTTGGTTTAAGCGACGATAATCGACGCAAAATCTTGTTGTTCCATCCTTCTTTTTTACTAAAACGACAGGTGAAGACCATGGTGATGTTGAATGTTCAATAATTCCATTTTTTTAATAATTTATCTGTTTCTTTTCTTAAGGTTTCTTGATCTTTGTTTGATTTTCTATATGGTGGAGTATGAACAGGACGGTGTGTACCAGTATCAATAGCATTTTTTAAAATTATATCAATTTTTGATGGTTCACTAATGTCAAATAATTTTCCATATTTCCATAAAATTTTTAAAATTTGTTCTCGTTGTTTATCATCGCTAATATGTTCAGTTAATTTATTTATTTGCTGTCTTATTTCGTCAGGATAACATTGATTTCTAAGATGCTTGAATAATTCATTGCTAGTATCAAAATGTTGATAACATTTACGACATTGACGTTGTTTTCCGTGTGATGCTATAGTTGGTATGTTGTTACAATTTAATTTATTTGATTTGTTCGCTCCTTTCCCCTCAGGAATGAGCTCTTTACACGCTTTTCCTTCCAGAATGCGTTCTATCAAATAATTTGATGGTATAGTAACACCAATTGTAGAAGATAATTGTGTCACTATACCTAATTTGGTTCCTTCGGAAAGTGTTTGTTGTCGATTCGTTGCATTAATTATACTAATTTTTATTCGTCTATTTTCAATGTTCAGTAATGCAGTTGCAGTAAATAATGCTTTATTTTTTAATCGAGGATTTGGTTCAAATAATACATCTATCATATTGTTATGTTGAACTTGTGCTTCTACTATTTTTTCTGAAAAAGGAGGAAGAGTAATATGATTAATAAGAGTAACCGGATAATTGAAAAGAGGTGGTTTTACAAAAGGAGTTGATACTTCTTTACCTCGACTTCGGATCATAATTCGTTGTTCAGGTGTAAGAATATAAACATTGTTTGATTGAATCCAATCACTACCTAATATTAAATTCGTAACCAGATTGGTTGTAACATCAGCAATAATTGTTGTTGTTATTCCATTAACATTTATTTCTAAAGGTATCTCACCAATAATATTTAATGTTGAGCAATTTGCAGATAAATGATTCATTGTTTTTGGTATTAATTTTTCATGTGGTATATCATTTAATAAGTGTTGATGTATAATAGTGATGGCCGATCCGGTATCGACAAGTGCTGTTTGTGGAGTGTTGTTGCATAAAATTTTGACAAAAATAGGATTAAATGCTGTTGTGGTTGATGACTGTTTTGCTCCACAGGGATCGTCGCCATCATCCGATCCCTTTATTCGAAAAAATGTTGTTGAGGACAATCACGTATTTGATGATTTGATTGTCCACATTTAAAACAGCCGTTGTTTTTCTTATAAAAACATTTTATTGTTGCATGCTTGTTTTTGTTGCAAATTAAACATGGATTGGATTTTTGAATTTTATTTTCTGGATAATTTTCTCGATGTTGTTGACGATTTGTAAACTTATTTGGTTTTGAATGTGTCCGATTGTTTGTTAATGATGGTAGCTGTTGATGTTGTTGTTTGTAGTAATGACGTGATGTAGAGGGCTGTTGACTCGGCAATTGAAAATTCGATGGTGTTGGTTGAACTGTTGCAGTTGGTAATATATGTTCAAAAAATGTTTTATTTTTTGTTCCAGAATATGAACCATTACGTTGTTGTTGAATTCGTTTTTGTATATATTCTTCTTCTTTTGCTAATTGCAACCATTCTTCTGGTTTTTTAATTTCTTTTTCATTACGAATTAAATATTCTTTTAATGAATTTTTAACACCATTTTGTAATACTGTGATAACTTGTTGTTCAGTAATAAATTGTCGAGATTTTCTATATTTCCGAATTACATTTTCATAAAATGATATAACGGATTGGTTCTCTTCTTGATGAATGTTAAAAAATTCTTGCATTAATTGACTGTTGGATGTAAATTCTTTGAATCGATCACGTAGTGCTTTTTCAGCATCATTCCAAGTAATGAATGATCTTAAATTTTCTTGATACCATCGTAATGCTGGTCCTGTTAATTTGCCCATTGTTTCGAAAACTTTTATTTCATCTTTTAATTTCATTAATGAAAATAAATTATTTAAATCAAAAATCCATTCATCAATATCAATTTCATCAGCTTCTCCTGAAAATTCAGCTATTTTCTTCATTACTTCTTTTTGGCTTAAATAAATTTGTCGAGCTTCCATCGGAGTTGTTTCCATTTCTTGCATAAATGACATATTGTTTTGTTTTTTATTTCTTATTCGTGTTGGTGAGTTGGTAATTAATTCATATGATAAAATATTTGCTCCACTTTTTTTAATCGCTCTTCTTGTACCGGTAGCCGTTGTTAAATATATATATATGCACTTCTTTTGATAATTAAATTTTGAAATTAATTTGTATATAAATATCTAATTCTCTCTTTCCTAGAAAGATGAGATGATACTTCACTCTTTCCGTCACGGATGAGTAAATTAATTAACCAGTTCGTTCTTCTTCGATGTAGTAAATAGAAGAAGATGGGTCACGACACCAAATTGTTAGCTCGTTTCGACGAGCTGATGTTTATTTATTTTCCAAAATATCTGACTAGTTAAAATGTCCTTAACAACACGTACATATATATATAACAACATACAATCGAGAAAGAGGAGAAAGAGAAGAAAAGGAAAAAGAGAAGAAATACATAGTAAGATATCAAGGGAAAGAAATGAGAATGAATCACCGCTAACACATATGGTATTAATTATTGTGATCCATATGCTATTAGTCATTTTGACGAACCTATTAAAAAGAAACTATATCAAATATGGCAATTTCATCAATCTTTACATATTAAATTTACCTATCATCATGTATGACTTATTTAATTGATTTTGTTAATTAAAAAATATGTATTTAAATTTTCAGATTCAATATATAACATTTTTGTTTTTGTTCAGTTATGTTCTATTATTTCATTTTGATCCGATTAAAGCCGACCGTCCATCAATCGATGCAGTAGAAATTCTTGTTATCATAATTGCTTCATGTATGTTTATAGAAGAACTGCGAATTGTAAGTAGAAACCAGCGTTATTTTGTTTCGTAAGACTTATTTTTGTTTGTTAAGTTTTTTAATCAAGATAGTCTTTCATTTCTTGGCAAATGTCATAACTATTTTCGATATTTTCTCAAACAAATATGCATGATCTCATTTGTTTTATTCTATATTGGTTTAATATTACGATGTCAAGCTGTTGGAGATTCTACAACGTTACAAGCAGCTAGGTAACTTATTTTCAAGATGATAAGCTAATAGAAATTTTTAAATAGAATTATTATGGGATACGATTTATGGCTTTGGTGGATGGGATCTCTTTCATTTATTATTGTTAATCCATTTCTTGGACCACATTTAGTTTCGATTGGAAAGATGGTAAAAAATCAATAAAAGAAATATTTTGAAGATAATTTTTGTATTCTAGTTGAAAAATTTAGCATTTTTTGCTATTTTAATTGCTATTGTTATGACTGCTTATGGTGTAGCTTCACGATCGATGGCTTTTTATGGTGCATTTGAATTTAGTATTCGTAATGTACTTCGTTATGTTCTATATCCTGTTTATTATTTACTCTATACAAATGTATCTGGTGAATTAAATGGATTAGACGGTATGAAGGATATAAATAATTTATGAACTAATAATCGAATAATTTTCTTTTAAAGAATCGAAACATGACAGTCCAAGTATTGCTACGCATATTTTACTTGCTTTTCATATGCTTTTAATTAATATTCTTCTTGTCAATTTGCTTATTGCTATGTTTAAGTAAGTTGTTGGCTTATTTTAATAAATTTTATGAATTATTTTTTTTTCTTTTTCTCAGTAAGAGCTTTCAAGATGTACAATCAATTCAATCGGATATTTGGAATTATCAACAATATATGGTTGTTCGTGAATATTATGATCGACCACCATTATTTATTCCGTTTAGTACTATATTTGATATCATAACTTTGATGAAAACATTTTATCAATGGTATCTTCGAGTGCGTTATAATTATGCTAATCCATCAGAACGAGTGTTTAGTAAGTTTTCATAGAAAATGTTTATGTTTAATTATTTTGTTTTTTTTTGTGTTATTTTAGAAGTAATTGCTGTTCAACCGGAACTTGAACTTGCTTGGCAAGAATTTGAGAGTGCATCAACTTATGCTTATGCGCAACATGAAGCATTAGCCAAAATTAAAAGGTCAACAGAAATGAAAATCAAGGTTTTTAGTGCGATATCATTTTTATTTTTTTCTAGAATAACTATAGAGAATGCAACATGTTCACAAGAATCGAATACAAGTGGAATAAGATCTATGGACGATGTTGAATCATTTGATAGAAATATTACTAAAAAAGAGACAGATGCAATTATTCAGCTACGCAATGAATTCAAAGCAGCAATTAAAGATCTTCGAAATGATGTAAGCAGGAAAAAACTGATTATTAATCTGTTGTGAAAAATTGTTTTTATGAATGTTTAGATACGTCTTATCACAAAGCAAAAGTGATTTGGGCATCATGCAATTGACTCCGGTTGTTTTCGAAGAAAATTAAATAAATAAGGACTAAAAAAATATATAGCTCAGATGCTTCTAAAATTATACAAGAGACGTTTCTCGAAAATAATAATGAATGCTATAAAGAGAGGCGCAAAAAACTTCAACACATTACATGTTGAAAAATTTATATTATCTATTTATTGCCTTTTATTCTAATAACTATTACATATAATCGAGGTGAAGTATCTAATTAGTGTAATAGAAGTCGTACTCTCTAAATCTCAAGTTATTGGTATCATTTTGTTTTAGCCATTTTCAATCCATGATGCAGGAACAATGGCTACAAAAATTCTGTCGGCAAATGTCTCTTCACCATTTTCAAAAACTAACGCAACCCTAGTTCCATTGCCAACGATTGCTATATCCGAATAGGCACTAAGTCCAGAATATAATATACGAGAAACTGACCATGAATGAGCTTCATCGTACGATAGTCGAAGAGCTAAATTAGAACGTATTGTCGTATTAACGGGCCCATTAAAACGAATACGACTGGAATTAGTAGACATTCGTTCAATCGAACAAACTACCCTAGTCCATGCTTTGGTAACAGGATCTATTAAAGATGAATTAATTCCAAATTCAGTAAACTGGATCGCACCATTTGTAGTCCGTGCAAAGTAACGATGTCCAGGAATTGGAGAAAAGTTTCGTCTATTTAAATAAATATGCGAAGCGCCCGCATCCAAATTGATTGTTTGCACCAATGGTGATTCACGCGTATACTGATGTGCTATTCCTGTAAAACTACATTTGACGATTCTGATTTTTCTCAGGCATTTCGCTTTTCAAAATACATGCATAACAACTAGGACATGAGCCATTTCCATTAAGATGGCTTCATCCATTAGTGCACACAAATGGCATCTACAAAGGCAGATAATCGTAAACGAAAATATGGAGCGTTTATTGTGTTTTCTATACCAACAACGTTCCTGCATCAGAACAATTTCCTTTTTCACATAATGAGCCGATGATCTAGAATAAAAGTCATGGATCAGTATATCAATCATCAAAATGTAGTACCTCACTCCCATGACCAACAGCAGGTTTGATCGATTTACTAAAAGGTAGAGGAGGAAGCACATCTAAAGACATTGGATCTGACCATGTTATTCTCTATAAGAGAATAAATACAGCACAAAATTACTCTATTGTTTGCCAAAACACATACTTCATTACGTGATATAAACACAAGAACCAATGAAAGTGCCTGTAACATCAAGTAAACTGTGTTCGATGTACTGCCACAAACTACAGTGTAATACTCGATGTTTCCTGTGTAAACTGTTTGTGTGGCGAGCCACGTAGATCCGCTATCTTCTGAACAACGCATTTCTAAACCACCATCTTCATTGGGAAGATTATTTCTCTCTACTCTATTTTCCAAAAGCGGTGCATAACTGGTTACAAATCGATCTTCGACAAATATCATCAAATGTGTTCGCTCTTGGTTAATAGTCACAATGGCTGGCTGTTGGATTATTTTTATTCGAAAAGTATAGGTAGCATTACAGAGTACTTACTTGACGATAACATGGATATTTACCGTCATGTGGTTTGAAGACTATGAAACTGTGGGTCTACTGCTCTTGAAACGATGATTACCATGGATATCAAAACAAATAGCATCTTCATTTCTCTTAAGAAAATGACCTATACTTTAAACATATATGTATATAATGTCATCTCATCTCATTGTAGTTGCATTCTGCTCTTTGAAAGGCTAAATGACTACACTCGTCGAAGTTATTTTCATTTTATCAACGCGCACCAAAATTCTCACCTGAATAAAAAAAAGATAAACTTAATTTATATTGAAAGAAAAAGCAAAAAAAAGCAAACATATTTGAGTGACATCAAAGTGGTGGTATAGACGTCGTATAATTCTATTGATAAATAGGTTTGAAAAATAGATAAGTAAGATGCATAGTTGAACAAAAACAACCATAAGTTTTATCTAATTCACAATCAACATATATAGATTATATAATAAATACGTTGTACAAATGTTCAGAAATAATCAATTAAAAACGCTCCCAATTATTCAACTTAAATTTTAGTCTATTTGCGTAAAAATTCACTGAATAGATTTATATATGTTAAACAGTCATATGTCAGAAATGGTTGTTAATATAGTTTCGATTAAAGATACAAATCTAGATTAATTTTTATTTATATAATAGCAATCTGTATTGATTTGCTCGAATGTACAATGATTTTTGCTGAGTTTATAGATTATTCATATCTTAAAATTTTTTTCTTGGTAGAAATTATTATTTAGCCGATTGTACAATCGATATAGTCATGTTGGATAATTGATTTCGTCTAGATTAAATTAATTACAATTTTTTTTATTCAGTTTACACTGGTAATGTAGTTTTGTCTTGATTTAATCGTATTAAATTTCTAATAGTTACTTTCTGCCCGCGAGATAAAAGACAGACAGCTGGTATAGCAACAGCACCTGATTTGGGCAATTGTTTCGTTGGTGTCCGAACACCGTCAACGATAAATGTGAATTTGCCAATTTCATTTTTCGGAAGATCAAGTTCTAAACCAATCACTCCACTATTTCCACTAAATTTCGGTAGATTACCATGAACAGATTCTGTATTAGTAACAATATCACCAGTTGATGGATCATACGACCATGCGCTCCTAGAGGAACCTAAATAACCAAAAAATCCCCAGTCAGGACCAATATTCCAATCTAACAAGAAACCAACTCCAATTTGATGGGTTCCCATCCATTCCACGTCAAACTCCAAAGACCATTTTCCTGAATGTAGTTTTGCTTTCGTCTCAATTGGAATCCAGATTGCTTGAGATGCTTCTATCCATTCCACAGTACAATCATTGTTGCTAAATCTTAGGGATGAATTCGCATGTCGATTTGAATTAAAACGAAATTCACCAACGTTATTCATTTCTTCTGATAAAAAGGTTGAAGAATCCAAAAGATATGGTTCTTCCGAGGTTTTTGCACAGTTTGATTCTTTTGAACATTGATCATTGGCCATCGTTAAAATGAACCCAAGGACAAATATAAAAAGCTGCGACACAAAACAATAGTACAATAAGATCATATTTAATTTGATCTGTTCTAGCAAAAGAAAGGTAGTACTTGTAATTTTTTGAATAACGAAGTCTAATTTCCGAGAGATTTAGAAGATCTTAGCATATTCATGTTTTTATGTTCGAAATTAACATACCTGTTTATTTTTTGTTGTCGATGTTAAAAAAGACTTGTCAACTAAATTGGCTGATATTCTTCTAATAATTGAAATCATAAAGGAGCCTTCTCTACAAACTTTTAACTATAACCATTCTAGACTATGCCATGTTTACAGAATAGCTAGAGTATCGGTGAAGAGATAAGGATTGGCTAAGCACAGCAACAATAAGCACACATCAAAGTTAGAAATTAAATTTTATGCCTCTCCTTGTTTAAATTAACTGTACTCTTTCTTATTCTATCATTACCTTTCATCAGCTACAATTTGACTATCTCATTCTAAGAAAATTTTTGCTAAATTTATCGCATTTTGTCCGAAAATTACATTACGTCACTTATGACTGTCGTGAAAAATTAGCGCCTTAGGTTTATGTAATACAAAAGATATTTTTATACAATATAAACTGCCGAAATAATTGATTCTCTTTCTTCGCAGCATATATAGTGGTGACGACTTTATGACTAACCAAAGTGACACGTCACCTACTGTCAATAGTAGACATGTAGTCATTCGTATATACGTTGACTGATGACGAATGAAAAATAGAAAGAAAATTGAAATCAATATAGAGGTTGCTTGAAGAATAGATAGCGTTCCTCATCAATAGCAAAGGGAATTACCAGTGCAACAATAATCTTATTCTTACGATTTATTAATTTTTCCACTTAAACAACGTTAGATAAGTACGTGTGACAACATTATTTGCAAAGAAACTATTCGAATCATACAGATTGTGAAGGGTTTTCCATATATTATATCATAAATGGATATATTCACCATCACTCTCAACTTTATTGTGTTTATACATTATGGCATAAAAACTGATAAACTGTATGATACTCCTAAAATCTTACCTAGTTCACCTTCAAAATAACCAGAGCTTCAAAAAATCTTGTCTCTCAATATTAACAGATCATATTTAAGAATACTAAAATAGAAGTACTTTTGAGTAGCACACAAATCTTTACTATTCTGCAATATAAATGATAATACATAGAGGAGTTTTTTTCTTATAGAAAATGCATTATTGATTTATCATTAAAATGAATTTATTCTTCTATAAACTAATAGCATTAGCTCAAAAAACGAATGGATTTTTTTAAAATTATCTAATACTTGATGAAATTCATCTCCATATATGTCTAGAAGCTCGAAAAGGATTATTCTATCCAACAATTTTGATTTCAATACTAGCTTCAATATATGATTAATTGACAAAGAAACTTGCCTTATGAATCAAAGTCTCTAAATCTGCATCTTCTATCGATAAAATAAATTATTACGTGTTCCGATGTTCTTGGAACAAGTGTTTCAATTTTTGTTAATTCTAGCTTTTCTTTGCTGCTTATGCATACTATATCATGAACATTTGTGCATGTGTACGAATCGTTAAATCGTTGTGTACAAACCTGTTTTTTCATAAATACTGATGACTGAACGTCACTTATTGGCATGATCAGTATTTGATTTCAAATCCACGATTGAGAACACTGATACTACTTGATAGTTTACCGTACCAAGTTCATCCAGATGTCTAAAAAGAATCGAAGGATTTCAAATCTTGAGTAATTCCACAAAAATTTATATCGATAATCCAACCACTCGATGTTTGCTATAATCGTCAACATTAAAAAAATTATGCGACATATATATGATCAGGTATGGCTAGATGAAACAGACAAAGATTTATCCGAACGTAATAATTTGATCAAGTGACAATCATTAGTAGATTCTCATATGTGTTCAAAAGCTTTGCAACCAACGACAAAATATATTTGGTTCCAAATCATAGTTAAGGTCTCATTAAGAATAGGAAAAATACTTGTTTCACATTTCAAGCAGATTAATGTCATGAAAAAGGTTTAATTGGTGGAGCAATGATTAGGTGAGCCTGATGTCAACAAGAACTATGCTTCACTCATTTTTTCAAACTTTCATTCCATTAGACGGATTCAACATTTTCTAGATCGTTTATTGTTTTTTTTTCGTTCGCTATCTATAACTGTTTTGTTTTCTCATTAACTACAAGAGACCAGCGATCATCTGTTTTTCGACAATTAGTAACTATGCATGATATGATTTTTGAAATAAATCAGTTCGTGAAAATGTTCCTTTACTCAGATATTTGAAAAAAATTTCATAGAAAATAAAGTGACGTCATTCTTAGAGCAAACTATTAAGCATGTTTCTCTGCGACGAAATGACAGTGTGGCGAATCATTTTGTAGTTTCTTTTTATATTGTGAGTCTTACCTATGAGCAAAATATGAGCTCAAACGATATATTTCAGCTGATGAGATTCTCTGATGTGGCAGCGACCGATACCGCGATCGGAGTGAGTCGAAGACCAGTAGTTGACCAGAGCTGACGTCCTGAAGAGACACCGCGGACCGAACGAAGACAGAGAGTGAATGTAAAAGCGGGACTCAAACTGATAATGATATCGGATTCGAATTTGAGATAGACACACCGATTGAGAACGGTGCCAGCACTGAAAATAAAGTCAAAATGGATACTGCAGTCAATGCGCGAACTACGGACCTAAACTAAGGCGGTCAACAACTTCAATACTTCAAATATAACGCGAACTGATACCCGAACTAGGACATGCAAAAAATGTGGATCGAACTAAATATGGGATATGTAAATATAGTCTTAGAAACAATGGTACACACTTTATTACTGCAACGATATCTGTATTACTTAAAAACCTTGATGCTACACATACATATATATATATTTCACGCCTCATCATCCAATGACTAATGGACAAGTTGAAAGACTTAACACGACAATTGATACTAAAATAGCAGCATTATCAAATGGAAAACGCACAAATTGATATGAAGAATTATGATTCCTCTCATTCAACTAAAATATCAACATGCACACAAGAACTGAACAAACTCCATTTGAAGACAAATATCTAGTTGCTCCTCAATAGAGTATCCTTGAATCAACAACAACCACTAGTTATACTTTCACAATACTCGAAACATAATTTAAAATCAAGTCAATGTTTATCAACATTAGGCAAACAAGCAAAAGTCAACATCCTGGAGCAGCAGAAAAAAATAAAGAACGTTATGATTGACAGCGTGCAAATTCAATTTACAAAATCGGCGATATCGTACTAATTAAAACATTAATGACACGCAATAAATTCGGCACAAAATATGAGAAGACTGTTTCAAATTGCACGACAACTTGGGACAAATAGATTTATTGTAAAACATGTAAAGAAACCAGCACTAATAAGACAAGCAACTAGTGACATCATGGTGTTGATAACTCGACAATAAAATGTAAAAAGAAATGAATGAGTGAAGAGGAAGGAAAATCCCTATTTTTTACTAATAATCCGATGTATTTGTCTATTTCTTAAAAAAGGAAACAGTAATTCTACACATTGTTCATAAAATTAATTGCAGAACAATCTATTTTCTGGAATAATTATTCTTAATTAACGATATGTTCCTCCTTCTTCTTAATGGAATCTCATCATTACAATGTCACAGGCAGAAGACAGAACTCCGATCAATTTATTAATTAGATACTTCATATTAAAAACTGATAAATAAAAAGATAAGATTAATTGTTCTCATGATAAAAATACAATGCTATTTAATGGTCATTGGAAAACGAAATAATAAAGGATTTTAACTTTTGGCTTACTGTAATGGATACCAAATACGAAAAGAAGATTCTACTAATTGATTCCTGGATATACATATATATATATAAATATGAGTGAAGAGTATAGCTATTATGCCATTCGAGCAAAACAATCGATAAAAATAAATTTTATCGTAAGAGACAACAAAGTGTTGCCTCTAATATGATCATATCGATTGTGCATGAAAATAATATTTTCCTAATACTGTCCTGTGTCGGAGTTCACATCTGTCTGCTCTGCTTATATATCAATTAGCCTTACTGTGTGAAGGCGTCAAGAAAATGTCACTCTAGACTTTTCTAGTATTACTAAATTTTCTCTTACATGGTAAAAAATTTTTGCTTCATATTTTTGATATTAATGTACTATATCTATTGAGAAAACGATAAAATTTTTGTAACTGATTCTTCAGTTTTCATCGAGTTGTAGTAATAACAAAGTTTAAAAAGTCACTCTACATTCAACATGAAAGTTATTTTTTTTTATTTCTATAAAACTTTTATATTCACGAAGTTTATGAAACAGCACTTTTTTACTTCTGAAATTATTTTCTCTTTAGTTCTCTTTGATGTTCAATTAAGTTAATTAAAACGAAGTTTCTTCAATTGGAATGCTATCGATTTTAACGTCGATCTAGATAAAAATGACAAATATCTCCACGTCTATTATTTATAGTTTTTCATTTGTAAAAGTTTGTCTAAAGCTAAAACTAAAAACATATTCTGAAAGGTCTAGGAAAGTTTTACAATTCTAGCCCGAAAAAATTTTAAAAATTGCAATTCAATAAAACAGATATTAGTTGACTTTCATCGGATAGCTCCAGAAGCTATGTACTTGACTTGCCGCTCTGCTTTCTCAAAAACTAATGGAGATGGAAACTTGATTATTTTAGAATTGAATCATCCTTTTCAGTTCAGTAAAACACAAAAAGTTTATTCAAATCAGTTGAGTAGAACTCAGCTTAATGGACTTTTTATTTTCGGAATACAATGGTGCAATGGCTGTGTTCTTCATTCATATATACATGTATATGTTCTTTTTATTATAGATGTCTAATTCTCATTGATATCGAAATCATTCTTCAACGTTATATAAGCATCATTCTGTAA